TACATACATACATGTATATATGTATACACATCTATCAATATACAATCGTTCATATGATAGGCAATTTACATATATTCACTATACATATGTAAAACCACATACAGATATACTGTACATCATACACATACACATACGCATACACATACACATACATATACATATACATACAAACAAACATGCATACATGCATACATGCATACATACATAATTACATACATACGTACGTACATACATACATACATACATACATGGGTATATATATATATACAGTTTGATAGGCATGCACATCATTACATGCACAGACAGAGAGGGACAGACAGACAGGCAGGCAGGCCGGCAGACGGACAGACGGACGGAGGGACGCACGCAAGCCCGCACGCACGCACGCCCTGCCCGCCCCCGCCCCGGCCGCCGCCCCTCTGGGTCCGCCCGCCCGCCCTCCCACGCGCACGGGCACGGGCACGCGCACGCACACACACACACACACTCAATCAATATCAATATCAATATCAATATCAATATCAGTATCAGTATCAGTTTCAGTATCAATATCAATATCAATGTCAGTATCAATATATATATATATCACAAGCCTACACATAGTTGTATTCCTGTCAGCGCGCATCATCAGTTTCACATATGAATGTTTGTACGCAGATCCGCACCTTGGCTGTTGTATCCTGGCCGTGCATATCCACGTCCACCTGAACTGAGCTACAGCGGGAGCGCAGTATAAGAAGTACTTTATGGGACGAGGGCGGTCTGGTTTTCTTATGTTGATAGCGGCTGGTTTCGTGGCAAAATTTAATCCAGGATGGGTCAGGGTAGTCTGGTTTTCTTAAGGCCGTTTTCTTATATAGCTATGTCCAGGGCCCAAGAACAAACGACTCTGGCAATTTCTTATTTCCCTTCGTTCCAGAACGCANNNNGGCATTTTCTTATTTTCCTGTGTTCCAGAACGCACCTAAATACGAAAACGAGACTCTGGCATTGTCTTATTTTCCTTTGTTCCAGAACACACCTAAATAAGAAAACGAGACTCTGGCATTTTCTTATTTTCCTGTGTTCCAGAACGCCCCTAAATAAGAAACGAGACTCTGGCATTTTCTTATTTTGTGTTGTTTTGGAAAATTATACAGAGCAAAATAAGAAAGTGAGGGTCTTGGACGAGGGTACCCTGGTTTTCTTATTTTAAGAGTGGTTGGTATTTTAAGGAGAACCCCCTCAATCCCCAAATCCAGAGTCTCATTTGCTTTAATCCAATGTTTTCTTAAGTAGTGCTGTCGCTGTACCAGAGCCCACCTAAGACCTCGACGAACCACAAATCCGACGATGCCACGAAGGCGCCTCGCCATGTGGGACACCTTGCGGGACACCCGGCACGCCTTGCGGGACTCCGGGACGGCCAGTGTGGTGCTCAGCTTGGAAGGCCTGTCGTAGGGTCTTGTCTTTTCCATGTGTCTAGAGTGCCTCTATCTACAGTTGATGCCTTGAAGTTCATTGGAAGGCCAGCATCCCAAGGGCCTCAACCAGTCACCGCAACCGGCAGAGGATGAGCATTCTAGGAACTCAAGTCCTGAAGCTCTCCATTCTGAACCCCCGAACATCCTCAAGTGCAAAGTTGCATGACCATCCTGTCCGCCCCTGCCTTCCGCCGAAGCCTATCCAACGCGCGAAGGTGCCCGGTAGCGGCTTCCAGTCTCTGCTTGGGCCAAGGGCAGCGTGAAGCTGGTGCATGGGAAAAAGCTCTAAAGGGAGCGAGTGCGGTGTTGACGCGGTTTGGGCATAGGGGTGGCCACTGGCACTGCCTTGAATCGTGTCAAGCACAGCGTTACCAGCACAATGCCATCATGCCGAATCACAAATTTGTGCTGCACCTTTTGAGTTTACCGAATCAGCGCTGATGCGCTCTTGCTTATTTATGCATAGGAGACTTTCGGGGAATGGCGGTGTTCGGCTATGACGTTTTTTTGCTGGGTTCGTGCTCACACACAAGGGCTTTTGAGGAATTTGCGCGTGTTTTTCACAATGTACAGGAGAAACATAGGAGCGATCGACTTAGTCATAGTCATCCTGCTCGCATGATATAGGGCTAGGCCTAGCGTCTGCTTGCCATGCAGTAGATCGAAACAACCCGGGTCCGTCCGATTGAACTGAGACGGCATCCCTACACCAACATAGCGTGCTCAGGCTCAACAGGATGCAACTGAATGTTGCCCGTACTCCCAGCAGTTCATGCCGTGTGGCCCTAGGCCAAGCGATAACTGCCAAGTTTCTCAAGCTTTAGCTTTCAGCTTCTCGCCAGACTCATTCCAATCCGCTCTTCGCCCTGCAGCCAGCTTGAAAATAAACCCAACCTCCGGCGGTTCACCTTGTGGTCCCATCAAGAGCCACTCCGCAGTCCAGAGGCGCATAAAGCATTGACACCTACATGCAGCAGCATTTAAGAAGTTGGACACTTCATCAAGTCCACTGCAGTGCAGGCGATGCGAATAGCTCGCCTGCAGCTTGTGGAATTGCGATGTACCTTCGAAGGCGCGTGGAAGAGACCAGTGGATGTCAACGAATGTGTGTGGTGTCGGCATTTTGGGGAGTTTAGTTTGATGGCGTTCTTAATCGCAGCTCAAGCGTGACATGCTCGCTCAGCTACGTAGGACGTAAGGCACTCAGACTCAGAAGGTATTTGGATGGAAGTTGTTGCGCCGCTGATGCCACCCCAACACCGACCTTAATGTCACACTGAATTCAGCTACGTCGTTGTTGCTGCGGAGCTCCATGTCGTGCCCACTCTATATGGTGTGAGTTCGCAGTGTCTGGTGTCAATACGATGATGATGTTGTTGTTTTTTTGTTATGGTTGTGATGGCGACCATGACCAAGGCCATGATCTAATCTTCGTGATGTGTCGTCCTCGTTGCTATGCTATCGTTTGTTACTGAATTTGTGATTCTGTTCCAGTCTCCAGCCCGTCCCAATGGGCGCCAGGACCCATTGCTACTAGTCGTGGCGCTTTAAGAACATCTTATATGGCTCAACTGCAACCCACATCTGCAGATTTCGAGAGAACCACCTGATTGGAGCAGATTCTCCGTCCTTGAGACCCCGAGCCCGACAGCTACCTTTCGAGCAGCTTTCTCACTAGCACCACTGGCGGCAGGTGCCTGATCTTCCTTGCATTTCGCACGGCAGCATGGCTGCAACAAGGGATTGCTTGCCTCCGACATTGAAACTAGACTTAGTCAAGTCATGCATGTTATACAGAGCTCACAAACGTGAAAGTACCTTTTTCAACTGCCGATCGAGCTTTTGCGAAAGGGGTTCAACAGAAGTTGTTCAGCCCAGCTTGGAAGCCTGTAATGCTGACTGCGTCCGGTCAGTGTCACGGGGCCACCGTCCACGGCAAGTACTCTAGGCAGCAATGGTGTCAATAGTGATGCGAGTGGGAGGAAAAGTGGCAGTAGTGGCCAAAGTCCTACCAGCAGTACCAACATTCCTTGCCACGAGATGCCACCGTCAATTGACCAGAGGGTTGAGTTGTTGAGGCTTGCCTTCTGAACTCTCGGTGACGTTCTTGCAAGCCCGGGGCCCCAAGCTTGCGTATTTTCCGGATCCATCCAGGCACTGGCGGTGCTTACCGAATTCAACGGCTGGTCCCTGCTGCGCCCGACCTCGTGACTCGGTGCGAAGGTTGGTTGTTAAGGATGCGGCTCCACAATATTTTTGGATTTGCTGATGAGCTTTAATCGCTGGCAGACGTGCGCGCCCGACCTTCAAAACATGTTTGAGCGAAATTTGGCATTGCGGACATTTTGCTCTCATTTGTATCATGGGTGCTGATTGTACGGCGTATCATGCTGTTCGATGTTTCGGATGCTTCTGGTTGTGGCAGTGACGGCCAACCAAGGCGGTTGTGACTACCATGCAGGGTGGGATTCTCTGTATTTCAGCACAACTCCTTCGCTTTGAAAATTGTGGTGGATGAACCATGATTGACAAGGGCTGCTGATGTACAAGGTCATACCGGCCCCTGCAAGTGTTGTCACAGGATGAAACAGATGGCAACGATGAAGTGTTGTGGCTGATCTCGTTCGATCATCACAGTTGCCGTGCTGCGGAGGATAGTGATGGCGATGTTGTAGATTTCACGGGTGAAATGAAGATGGTGATGATGCGCTGCGTGGTGCTGCTGATGATGCTGATGATGTCGATGATGGTGGTGATGATGAGGATGTTGATGTTAATAACCAGGATGACGATGATAATGTCGACGATGGTGATGATCATGATGAGAATGATGATAATACTGATGATGATGTTGCTGGCTGAGATGATGAGAACGATGGTAATTGTGAGAATGATGAGAATGATTGTGATGATGATGATGATGATGATGTTATGACTGAGCTGATGAGACTGATGGTAATTGTGAGAATGATGAGAATGATGGTGATGATGACGATCGTGATGATGATGATGACAATGATCACGATGATGATGATGAAGACCAAGAAGATGATGATGATGATGTTGCTGTTGATGATGGCCATGATGATAGTGTTGGTGGTTCGATGTTGGTAAATGCGCTGGTGTTGCTGGTGTTGATGGATGTCGGTGACGTTGTTGATGATGGCACTGATGGACATGGTGATGGTGTTGGTGATTCGATGTTGATAAATGCGCTGGTGTTGCTGGTGTTGATGAAAATCGCGACAGTGATGATGTTGCTGTTGCAGTTGCTTGCTTTTGCCGTTGCTGTTGCTGTTGCTGTTGTTGCCGTTGTTGCTGTTGTTTTTGTTGCTGCTGCCGTCGTCGTCGTTGTTTTTGTGGTAGTGGTTGTGGTTATGGCGAGGGCGTGGTCTAAGTCGTGGTCGTTGTTGTGTCTGCTTGTGGTTGTGGTTGCTTGTGGTTGTGGTAGTGATACTGGCTGTCGTTGTCGTCGTCGTCGTCGTGGTTGTTGCGTTGTCGTTGTCGTTGTCGTTGGTGTCGTTGCTGTTGTTGCTGTTGTTGTTGTTGCTGTTGCTGTTGTTGTTGTTGTTGTTGTTGTTTTTGTTGTTCTTGTTGTTCTTGTTCTTCTTGTTCTTCTCGTTCTTCTTGTTCTTGTTCTTGTTCTTCTTCTTCTTCTTGTTGTTCTTGTTGCGGTCGTCGTCCTGGTTGCTGCTGCTGCTGCTGCTGCTGCTGCTGCTGTTGCTGTGGATGATAATGTAGATGATGATGGTGGCCATGATTCTGATGACGACGGTAAAGAATGATTGTGGTAATGCTGTGATGGTGAAGGCGATGAGGCCTGTGAAGTCATGGCCCAGGTCGGGTTTGGTGGCGATGGTGGGTGCAGGTCATGCGGAGGTCGTATCCGACCCAATAGCATAGACATAGATTTCGTTCGTATTTCAGCTGTTCTTTCTCTTCAATCTTTCTGTACTGTTTTTGGTTTGTGCCAATATACCCACGTACCCACCTTACTTGTACCAGGAGCAACGTCGTTTCCTATGTTACGGAAGCCAACGAGCTCTTAGAGGTCCGAGCTGGAGTTCCCTACCAGGAGCTGGTGCTGACACTCTTCACAACTTTTTGGGATTTATGTGATTCCGGTTCAGGATTTGATAGTCTTTTTTGCGCATAGAGTGGGAAGACTTGGCCCCAAAGCTCTTTCGCCTGAAACACAAGAAGCCCATGAAGGCTGTGGCCGTCATAGACGCCCAGTCATGTCGAAGCCAGGTTGTATGTCCCAGTATCACCTTTCTGTTCGTAGTGATGCGTTCTGTGGTGCGTAGGTTCGATTCTGCTGATTCGCGCAAAGCTACGTCCTTGGATCTGAGGCATGCTTCCAGCAACCTGGCCACAAACGCTTCCGAGATTCGCGCCAAGCTGGTCGGGAGCTTGAGCTTGTCACTTCAAGAGGGCACGGGCTGTTTGCAGGAAGCAGACAAAACCGAAGCCACACAGCAGCAGCCTTCTGCTCAGAAGGAGACTGCAGAGCAACGTGCCAACCACGTGATCTGAGGCAGGAGCGGCTGTTTAGGCACAAGGAATGGCCTTGGACACCGACCTCAGCTACTAGGATTGTGAGAAAGGTGCACAACGCGTAAAGAAGAACAGCAGGTAAGTCCAGAACTAAATGAATACAGCAAGTCGCCTGGTAGGCAAATCAGGACACATCACAAATTTATTTAGATATGTCGATGGATGAACAACGACACTATCCACGCCGCTGACTCTAACTACAATTACAATGCAAGACGCTTCAACTGCCGAGGTCTTTGCCACTGCTACTATCGATGATGACTGTCTCCCGGGGCGAGCAAGTGAGGTCCCCCTGGAAGAGCGTCGAGGGGTGTCGAAGTGTCCAAGGGCTTCGGGACCTCGCATCGAGATTTCAAGACGTTTCAGTCAGACTGCACGGAAGGAATGATAACCATGTCTTCTGGGCCAGGGATTCTGTAATCAGGTTTGAGTGTTGCTTTGTCGCTAGCGGAACTGCCTGAGAGACCAATCGCAGGTGCCAAATATCGTTTTTCAGCGCATTCCGGTGCCCACTTCCCTGGACGGTGAGACCCCTGGAGTGCCGCTGATCTCAATATAGGCAGGGCGTCATGATTCTTCAAGGAAGAGATCTGTAAGCCCTCACCCAAAGAACTTTGAGGCACGCAGGATACAGCCACAACCGCCGAATGTCGAGGAACTGCAAGAAAAACGCCAGCTTGGTGAAATCAAATTGCAACCATCGCTCCTTGGAAACCACCAAACCAGCGAAGCACGCCCAAAGGCTGCGTATCTCAGGACTCCTGCAGAGACCTACGAGAACCGCTGGGTCAACGCCAGGCCTTGGGCTCATATTGGCGGATACAAAAAGACAGCGGGCAGACACCTTTGGTTGCAGCAGTCCGTAGAGCGCATGTCCAAAGTGCTCTCAGCCAGAAGATCCGGCCCGGCAGCCAAAATGCACACACCGAGGTTCCCGTACAGCGGAGCTTTCAAAGTCTGCTACATGGATTCTCGGCCATGCTTTGTCACTTGGTCCCGGGCTTGGTCTCCAGTCTATGCCGTGCCCTGCTGATTCCATTGCGTTAAAGTCTCTGAATTCCCCGCTATGTTATCCTAATTCAGTCGGCTCTGGTTCATGGTTTGCTGTCGTGCTGCATTATGTTGTGTTTGGTTTCGTGTGGGTTGCTGTCTCTTGATGGGTGTGTCTTGCTGTGAAGGCTGTGTTCTGGTTGGAATGTCCGTGGCCGTATATGTGTTTTAGTGTGCATTTTGTTGGCGCTGTGCTTAAGCGGAGTTGAATTTTGACCCCAAGTCTATATGCAGCTAAGCTCCGAACCCTCTCAAAACCGTACACATATAAGTCATATAAGGCCTCTCATCCTGAACTCAAGACAATGACCCAAGGATGTTTCTGGAGCGGCAGCATGGCGACTAGCACCGGCTCCATTCGACGTGGTGGGCACCGGCGCCAACAGCTTCGAGCTGCCGGACTTCCGATTGGGGGTCCTCTTTACTCGAGCTCTGAGCTTGTGGGAGTTGTCCTCTATCCGTGTTCGGGACAAGGAGGCCCCCCCTACCATCATGGGGGCCTTCTCTCCCCTCCCCCCTTTACCTGAAGGTCCTTTGCCTTGCAATGCATGTTCGCTCGACCTTTCGCTCGACCCTGCAAGATCGCCTAAGTTCCTAGCAGCTGTGGCGGCATGGCGGTCTTCACTACATAGTCGGATTGCCGGGTTACAACACAGTCCGATGTACGGCTGAGCTTTCTTCCCCTGGCTGTCGTGGCCCTCTTCTCAAGTTTGCTGCTCTTGGAAGTTTGCAGATTGGTAGGTCTCTGACCTCACATGGTTTGAGTCCTGCTGCGCTTTCTTCCCCTGGCTGTCGTGGCCCTCTTCTCAAGTTTGCTGCTCTTGGAAGTTTGCAGATTTGTAGGTCTCTGACCTCACATGGTTTGAGTCCTGCTGAATTGTGCGGAAGCTGCCAGCCGCAGCAACATTCGCCATGATTGGGAAGGTTCTGGTGCGTGGATGATGTGACGGTTGACTGCACGCTGCAGGCTCCGATGCCGTCTCCAGGTCTTCTCGCAGATAGAGTTAAAACAGTTAAACCTTCTCTGACTGGTATCATGTGGTTATTCTTAGTCCTAGCAGTACGCACGTCTCCAGGGAAGTAATGCTGGTAAGCAGTTTTCCGGACTTGGTCCGCTGACATAAATCATAAACGGCTCAAGCTCGGTAGATGGGTTATGGTTGACATGCCTCGGGTTCAGTGCATGGTGCAAGATTTCCTTCATCCACCAACTGGATTGATTATCTTGTTATGAAGATGATGACCCCAGGCTCTGTAGAGATGCTTGCATGGGTTGGCTGGTCTGATGTCTTGTGCATCTTGAGCGTTTGCTGCAACGCTATCGATGATTTTGGCGCAGGGCTTAAAGCTTCTGGAGCCATCAAGCATGCAGCGGTCGCCTGTCGCCGTTAAGCAGTCAGTGTTCAGTTGAGGAAACGTTACGAAAGTGCTGCCGGGGGCACAAGTACCTGTATTTCTTGCTTTCTATGCTTGAAAACTCCCAAACGCTGGCAGACTCTGCCAGCACTTTCGTAACGCTGACTGCAATGTTAGCTGATCGTTATATGAATGTTAACGGTATTCATGACCTGAGCAACCGTGACATACTGAGGCGCTGGTGCTTTCAAAGAGCACTTGGGAGTTTTCAAGCATAGAAAACAAGAAAAGCGAAGCGCGAAGGCAACAAAAGTGATATGAGTAGCTGCCAGCCGTTCGAGGGACCATAGTCGTCCTAGTGGTGATAGTAGTAGTAGTAGCAGCAGCAGCAGCAGCAGCAGCCAGCAACAGCAGCAGCAGCAGTGGTGGTAGTAGCAGTGGCAGCAGCAGTCTCATTGTTGTTATTACGATCATAGTATTAATAGCAATAATAATAATAATGATTAGTATTATTATTATTATGATTATTATTATTATTAGTAGTAGTAGTAGTAGTAGCAGCAGCAGTAGCAGAGATAGTAGTCGTAGTTGTTATGTTTGCTCGTTTTGTTGTCGGGTTTGTTATTTTTTGTTTTTGCTCTTGCTGTTGCTGTTACTGCTGCTGCTGCTGCTGCTGTTGCTGCTGCTGCTGGTGTTGTTGTTGTTGTCGTCGTCTTCACGGCGGGGGGGCTGTTGCCGGCAGGGTACGGCGGCGCATGATTAGGGCGATCGTATCTGCTGAAAAACCGTGCTGGATGTTTCGCAGCCTTCAGATCGCCGGCCTGGGCATGAAGACCAACTGGTACCTCACCGCCTATGCCCCAGGGGTTCCGGAGAGCTCTCCCGTGGCCGCAGGTTGTGTGACATTGCATCCTCTTTCCCTGACACGGCCTTCCCGTGACAATGCAACCCTGAACTCGTTTTCATCTTGAGATCTTACCGGGGGCCCTTAACATACATGTCTCAGACTGTTCTGAACGGCCTCAGTCCTGCTAGTTTCGTAAACAATGTGCGGTCGAGGTCGTTCCAGTCAACGGTGTGTGCGGTGCCATCGACTATGCGGGCTCCTTTGGCCAGAACGTTTCGGTGATCACGTCAGAGGCCAGCACTGCCTTGCAGGATTTTCTCCATGGCTTTCGAAGCTCAGATTCCGGAGTTCGGCTGTTGGAATCGACTCTCATGGCTTGACTGCATGCGCCTTCCGTCTCGCTTGCATGCAAGACTTAGCTTTGAAGAGAAGTGAAAATTTCGGAATCCTTCAGTGTTTGGCATCCGCAGCAACGAGCTTAAGCGGGCCACAATCTGGCCTGAAGTGTCTTGCGATGTGAGGTGACATGACACTACGCATAGCAAGCCGTCTTGTCGTGGTATCTCACACTCTTTTCGGCCTGGCCATGTTGTTTTGCTGGTTGCATGTGTCGTCGCGACGTAGCTTACATGCGTCCGAAGATATTAGCCCTACATGCTACCAGGGCCAGGGCGCTGTGGTGGCTCTATGCAAATAGTTTGTTGTGCTGAAATCACTGAAATCTTGCATAGTTTCGCCAGACCATGCCGCCTCATGTTACAGCACGTGGCATCACACTACACATGCTTCTTCAAGCCGCTTCACCGTTATCTGCATGACCTCGATGCACTCTGCCATGCATCGCATCCTGGTTTTTGCAGTCCACGTCGTCTTGGGTCGTTTGTGCACGGTCTTCCGCTATGTAGCGCTGCAGCGCTGTAGTTGCCGACGTATTTCCGTCGACTCGCCCTGCATAGCAGGGCACTGCATTCCACCACTTCAGACAAGACTGATTCTTGGGGCTATCTCTTGCCAAAGGTTTACGGTGCAAGCTTCTCAACGTCTTGGCGCTCTTGAAGACCAATCCAGCAACCTGAGCATTTGTGTCCGGCTCCCTCAACTTCCTTTCGGCCCCGGAAGATTGAATGTTGCATTCCTCAAGCCTGAATCCCTCACTGTCCTGAACAGGCTGGTAGCGAGTCCTCAGCCACGCACAGCCTGGGTCCTCCGGTGAGTGCTGGTGCTGGCACGTTCGCAGCTACTGGGCTCGTTTGTGCTCAGAATGTCCGTGTCGGAACATTTCTGAACTATGGTCCCAAGCTTGCCTCGTATCTGCCACGTGAGGTATGTTTCTGCCCTGGGAGCCTTGGCAGCCTTCAGATGTGTTTCAGGAGAGATGCTTCAGAGTTGCTTCAGCGTCTCCTGGCCATCAGAAGTCCCCGAGCGTTGACCCTGCAAATGCCTCGCACCCCAGGCCGCAGGTGCCAAAGATGCCACAAAGCCTACAGCATCTCCCCGAAATGCAGGTATAATGCAGACAGCTCGGCAGCCTCCTGCACAGCGTCCGAGGTGCACACGGCCATGCAGTTCTGCTTTTACCAACGTAGGAGACCGCCAGGACTTCGTCCAGCTCACGGGTATCCTCTATGTGACGGAAGCTGTGCCAGTCCAGAATCCGCATCCCCAGCCCCATGGACAGCAAAGACATCCTGCGAGATCATCGAAAGTCGGGTTCCTTGATCCGAGCCGTGTCCTCTGGACTCTAAACTTCTTGATTTGGGGGATGCGTAGACAGAAGAGATGACAAGCTTACTTCGGAGTGGCACCCAGTTATGTTGATGTAACAGAAACTGTAACTGCTTGTTGGCTTTTCTTCTTTCTTTCCAACAGCCTCCAATGCATTTGGTCAGAGGATAAAAACGAAACCAGGGTGCATCCCAAGGAGCACATCTCAAAGTTCAAGCACTTGCCAATGGAACTAAAACGGCCTAAGCCCTCAACCCACTTCTGCCCCAAATGTAGTTTCCCTGTGCACGGACCATAAATCCTTGCTTCGAAGGCTCCGCTTCACCCTTCGGGTACACTGCGGCAGCACCACTGAAGGTGGCTGCCCGGCCACAACAGAGCCCAGGACAAGTGGACCTTTACATGCTGACGGCTCTGTGAGCTTCTGGGGCTCTCTGCGAAACGTTCGAGCCAGTTTTCTTGGAACAGCCTGGTGTCAAGCAAGATTGCAGTGTGTTCGCTACTGAGCCGCTACTGCATGGAAAGAGTCCCAAATTTCTCGTCTATTCACGACTCAAGATTACGGAGACGCTGTGCTTTTGTTGGGACTTGTTGATGGTAGCTCGGACAGCCTCTAGCTTTCAGCGATGAGCACAACAAGGAGGAGCAACAACACGTGCGCAAACCCACCAGGAACGCCTGAGTTAATATCGTCGGAAGCAGACTGTAGCGTTCCACTTGGCAGTTGAGCGATACTTCTGCACGTTGGAATTGCGTTCCCTTGCTCCTAAGGTCATAAGAGTAGAGATCTTGCACGTGGTTTTAGCAGAGTGCGTGGGTTCGATCAGGAATAGGGCAGCCGCAAAGCGGCGGATGTGCTCAAGAAGCCATGTGGAACACCGAGTCTGGACCCTCTTGAAGTCCTGGATTCCCGAGCCTTGTGCGCTCAGTATATCCCGTAGGATCAAGATTGTCGATGCGGCTTCCAGCAACAATCGCGCCTCGGTCATGAGTGCTTGCAGTGCTTGCACGTCGCGACTTCCGACAAGGTGGCACTGCGAGTGAGCGGTCAGCTGTGAGAAGCAACAATGCCCATCCTCGAGTTCCATGCTTGGTCGATTGCACCAAGGCCCAGCCTTCGATACCCTCAGTGGCTGCCGCAGTGCAGCCCAGTCAGCCAGCTGCTGGGCTGAATTGTCAGATCGCAGTTATTCCAAGACTATTGAACGTAGTGTTATTGGTGTACGGTTGAACTGGAATTGGAATACCAACGATGCCAAACACGACTGCGCCTGAGAATCTGCCTGAATCTGGCTTGGTGCTGCTACGGCTTTGGAACGACATGGGAAACGCATGTGATCATGAGATCTCGACCATGGGGGCTCTGAGCATTTGGTACAGAGCAGCGTGCCAAGTCGAAATGCCTTTTGTGCTGGCGGCTTTTCAATTATATACATCTGTAGCTGTGCTGGCATGATTCCAGCAGGGCCAAATTCTGTGCCAGCCACTCTCCTACACTGGGCACCTGCACGCTTCTCTTGCTCGCAGAGTAACAGGGGGAGCGCTTTGTCTAGCACCGCATCTAGGAACGATTTATGATGGCAAGCCATCCTGTTCCAGGCTACATGTCCCCGGAGAACTGCGCCAGCCCCACACGCTGCACGCTGCCTCCTGCTGTGGCCAGCAGCGCGGCGCCAGTCCCTCGTCAGAGGCAATACGGAGGGCGAGAACAGCTCGTCGTGAAGCTTGGGAAGATTGACCGTGCTAACATAAGTAGTTCAGTTGTCCTTCAAACGAAGATGCTTGCAAAGGAGTGGGCGAATCTCAGACTCTTCCCGACCTTCGAGAACCAAGCGCAGCACCTTGGCTTCTTCGGGGGCGAGCATCTAATCACCAAAGCTAGCTCCTTTGGAGCTTGCGGGAGTTGCTGTTGGCAGATGTTGCCACAAGAGAGTTTAGGGGACCCTTGCTCCTGTCAGCACAGGTACCCCCCACCTTATTCCTTGATCAACTCGATTTGACGCACGCTCCCTGGGTCAGTACGACAGAGAGCGAAGCCGCAATCATACGGCAACACAGTCGCAGCATACATCCATAACTGAAGACAGAAAGATTGCCGAAGATGCTTTCACGTTCACCGCAGGCATGTTTTCCGCCTCGTTGTTGACCAAGTATCGACTAGTTTGTAGGAGGGTAAACAACCGTTTCAGCTTTGTTTCTTGCATTGAGGAACGAGCTTTGCCACGGTCGTTCAGCACAGGCTTAGGTCTCATGACTATGCATGCGAACTCAGTTTCTTTGCCAAACTGGATTAGAGAGACGCTTGCAGCATCAGCTCGCACATGCAATACACGCGTACTCCTTCGTTCACCTAGCTTTTACTTTAGAGCAGGAATTACGATTGGTGCAGCCCAGGAAGCCCGTGCTCTATGACGTCTGCTTGCGCCTTGGCATAAAGTTGAAAGGCGCTGTGCCTGCGGGGTCTGCCACAAAGGGGTGTTGCCAAGCCTCCCACCTGCTTGCAGTTCGGAAACCTTCCCGCAGGTGCCTGGGCTCCTGCGACCAGTCGCCGAACTGGTTCAAGGCTGCAGGGGAACAGTTGCAAACTTTGGGAATCAACAAGGGGTGAAGCTGCGAAAGCTGCTAGATTGGCCGACGTGTCAGGTCTGGTTAGTGTTCAAGAGTGTTTCGCGATTAGGGTTTAGTGTTGGGCTTCCCTTTTTTTAGGGTTTACGGTTTTTCTGGCTTAGGGCTTTTTTGGGTTTAGGCTTCGAGTTTATGGGCGGGGCCTGAGCCGAGCCGCTGGTGACGTGCGCCACGGCCTGATATGTGCAGCTTCCCAGCTTCCATCGAGTTTCGCAGCTTCTCCTCACACCCCCTCAGGCCAAACCCGCATGTAATATTTGCAAGAGCCGGCCGGCATCGGCCGGCCAACGCTCCTCGCTGGCATTATGTCTTGACGCTAAGCCCGCCGAGCTGCGAGACGTAAGAATGGGAGCGTAAATGCAAGCCTGTCGCGTGGAAGATATTCGAAAACTCAAGTCGGAAGATGGACCAGAAGCAGCAGCACTTGAGAAGTGGCAAGTAGTTTCGAGAGATCGCCAGGCGGGAAGCATACAGACCTCCGTCATCCAGGCCGGCTGCGAGAGCCGGAAGGCTTCAGTAGATGAAGAGACAAAGGCCGACACATGGGCTGCTATAGTTTGCGCCGTTTTTTCACAGCACAGTCATCCCTAGGCCCTAGCTCTGCAGTCCTTCGAGCTTGGCCGGCACAAAACGAGGTTTTGCCGCAGCAGATTGTGGCCAACAAGGCGGGGCTTGACTTTGTTAAAAAAGATGGCCGGAAGCTTTCGGTCCACTGAATCACAGTTCCGAGCCAGGTTCTGGATCTGCAGCTGCTGGGCACGCAGGGTGGTTGGTCACAGGCCACGGGATCTGCACCGGAACTGAAGCCTGGTTGCATCGTCTAAGACAAAGGAAGTTTTCCAGTTTTGTCTGTTGAAGCCTTGGTCACAGCATCTCTGTCTCTCTCTCTCTCTCTGTCTCTGTGTATGTG